ATGCAGTGAGACAGGCAGCTTTATAAATATCTCATCACTCCATCGTCACACAAATTTCATCGACAGTGCTCATGCACAGCTATTAGCAATATGAATCTAACCATTACAAGAGGAAAGAAAATCGAACATGTGGCATTAATACGCAGTCCTGGTTCCTAACCATCTGATAGGCAGATGGTGTAAAGCGGATTCTCCAGCTGAAATGAAGGGGCACATCATTTAAAACCTTGTTTGCATTCTAACTGATATCAGTGCCATATTGATATACATGATACATCATGGCAGTATTTGAACAATCTAGTTTGTTTCAGTCATAAATGTTTACAGCCTTGTTTTTTATCTTTAGAAGCATGTTCTGAAGAGCGTATTTTTAATTTATGAAACCTATTGTTTACTTCTGTTGAACCAGAAGATTAGCGAAGAGCAGGAATATTAAATTACCACAACCACAGCAGTATAACTAAGATGGATGAATAAAGTATGGTTTTTCAATAAAAGATGTTAGTAAAGGAATTAAAAAATTAGCCTAGACATTTTATGCATTAAATACATTTATTCATTTAAACCTTACAGCTTTTTTCCCATGTGACATACTTAGAACTTTAATGCTTTATAAAGCTATTCATTTAAATCTCTTACTGCGTGCAATTAATCTTGTCCAACAATTTAATTCAAAAAGCAAAACATCAGAAAGTAAAGTTCAATTCAACCATCACGCTTCTGAAGTAATCTCTGTATTGCTGACAGTTCCTATAGACTCATCAGCAAAAGTCTGTTCAAGGTGTCTTGTAGGAGCCATATGAATTTGAATTACAGCTCAATTGAAAGCTCTCCAAGCCTTAGTAGGAACTCAGGAACAAGAAGCAGAACACCAAAAGAAAGCGTGAATGATCCTTTCCTACAAAGACCTTCTCTCTTCTGTCACTAGATTACTTTGGCCTGTTGGGTGTGTTTGTAGCTGTTAATTATGTTAATAAAGTTGCAGCCTGCTGCCTCTGCCAAATATAATCATAAGCTTTCTCCTGCCAAGTTCTAGTCTAATTTACACCCGTGCAACTCTACTGAAGTCAGAATTTCATGGGTGAGAATGAGACCAGAAGTATGCCCAGTATGTGTAGTCTCTAATGCTGAAAAATGAGTGAATGAAACAGAAAACAATGACAAAAAAACATAGCATCTTCAGAAAACAATTCTGTTTTAAAAGCAAAGTGCCCGAGAGAGCTGTCATATATCATGACAGATTTTCAAAATGCCTACGAATTACTGGTGGGCACTAAATCACATCCAGGGTTTCTGCCTTCCAACAAATACTATTCCCTGCCTTAAGAGACAGCTCTTAAAACTTTCAGTTTTGATGGCATGACCACCTTACAACACACCCTATTTGCGAAGGAAAAAAGAAAAGGACCTATGGCTGTAACTTTTTCAGCCTCAAATACATCTCAAAATAGACATTTTTGAACTGTATGCCTAAATTTGGTCCTGGGATAACTTACAAAATTATTTAAGTAATTGATCTTAACTCACTTTTAATTTCCTTCACATAACTATGCCCAATAGTAATTATAATTTCTAATAGTTATTACAATAAATAATTAATAAGTTCCTTAATAGAACTATTACCTTCCTTTATATA